GTTAGTCCTCCCCTTGCCAGTAGGGGTCGCTGCCCGCCAGGGAGGTGGCCGGGTTGATCAGAGTATGAGTCAAGCAAAGCAAGACAGCTAGCAGAGTGGCGCAGCGGAAGCGTGCTGGGCCCATAACCCAGAGGTCGATGGATCGAAACCATCCTCTGCTAGGTGCTATGTTTTCCCACCTGGCAAGGCAATCCTTTCTTGGTCGACTGTGACCTCTACTGTAGTTATTTCTTTGCTGAGCTCGTGTCCCTGCTTCCATTAAGGCGTGAAGGCGCCGCCGCAGCCAGTTCCACGGTATAATGGTCAGTACTTTAGAGTTTGAATCTGGCTGTTCGGTAGAACTCGCTTACCGGTCCGCTATCGGGAAGAGGCTGATGTCCAGCCCGTGTGCACCAAGTGGCGGTGGAAGATCCCTTGTCCTCTTGCCTTGGCGAGGGCAACGACCCTCTCAGGCCTCCCTGGAAGATAGGTGGGTGGGAGTTTCATGCTCTTCCTATTTTGTGCCTGCCTAAGCTGAGAGAGCAAGCTCTGTCATAGAACAAGTGTTCGGTGTCTGCAGCATCAAGGTTTCAAAGCCTCCTGTGCCACACTTAGCTCTCCCCCTCTGGGTGGCCGCAAGAGCACACAGGAGCTAGGACCCTTCTCATTGCTCTGGACTTAGAGGAGCTTCTTGCAGTCGCCACACTCACCAGGGACCTTTTCGTGTACAGAACCCAGTAAGCACCATCCCTATCCTCCCTTCCCAGAGGGAGCTCCAGTAAGGAATTTCCAAATTTCTTCTTCTTCTTTTTTCTGTGGCACATGCCTTTAGTTCCAGCCACTTGGAAGGCTGAGGCAAAAGGATCGCCTGGGCCCAGGAAGTCGAGGCTGCGGTAGACATGAGCGTGCCATTGCACTCCAGCCTGGGTGACAGAGTGAGACCCAGAGAAAAAAGAGAGGACACCTATGAAAACATGCATTCGAGGTTGGGTGGTTTTTCCAGGCAAGCTTGACTGAAAGATAATAAGGCAAGGAAAGACATTGGCAAAAGAATGGCTTAGATTTTGGACTATGATATCTTATCTGGATACAGAGGGAAGTAAAGATAGAAGGGGGAATAATACAGCCAGGCTCGGTGGCTCAGCCTGTAATCCCGCGCCTTTGGGAGGCAGAGGTGAGTGGATTGACTGAGCCCGCCGGTTCGAGACCCGCCTGGCCAACTTGGCGTAGACCTCATCTCTACAATAAATCAAAAATGAAGTTAGCCGGGCGTGGTAGCGCGCGCCTGTAGTTCCAGCTACTTGGAAGGCTGAGACGGAAG